CCTGTGTTGAGAATCAAGAGCAAACAGACCAGCAGGGTGATTTAAAATGTGAGTTTGGCCACAAAGGAAGCCCCAGTAAAGCTTCAGACTACAAAGATAGAATTGAGGCCATCTCCATTGCTGAGAAAGAACAGGAGAATAAAAAGATGGCCTGAGGGGGTGGGGATTCAGCTCAGTGGCATAAGTGCCTGCCTTGCAAGCCAGCGGTTGTGAGTTCAATCTCCAGTACGGATGGAAAAAAAAAAAAAAAAGAGGATATCCAGAGGGCATTATAAGAAACAGCAAGTCTCCATCTTTTTCAGCCTCAAAATTGCAAAAGTGATCTTTGCTGTGAGGAGAAAGTCTCAGCATATCATGTTCTACCATGGTGGTGTCCACACAAGGTTCCAGAATGGCAGCAGCATAGGAAATTTGTTCCCCCAAACAGGATTCAGAGTATCTGGTGATCCAGGCATAGGTGCTTACAGCCGAGAGGGAAGCCTGGCTACTGTGCCAGCTGGCAGCAGACCTTGGCATCATCCATGTGGTGCTGGCTTTAGATGCATGCAGAATGTAAGAGTTTTGGGGTTCGAAAGGCCTCCACCTCAATTTCAGGAGACCTGGGAGGTCAGTGTGCCCCTGAGAGGGCAGTGTGTGAAGCTGCAAGCAAGAAACTGAAGATACAGTGGAGATCCCAGAAGTTTGGAAATCCAGCACATGGATCATCTAAAGAAAGCTGCAGATAGAGAGTAGGCAGGCCTAAGAGAGAAGCCCTGGGAACCGTGAGGACCAGAAGTGCCAGAGGGTGGAGTCACTTCAGACATTTGGAGCTCACAATTTGCAACAGATTGCATCAGATGTTGGACATGTAGCTACAGGACTTACTGTTTTCCCTGCTGGATTTTGGATTTGCTTTGGTCCTGATGCTTTGTATCCCTGTTTGTACCTTTTGGAAAGATAACATTTATTTTGTGCCACTGAATGTTGGAAGTGTCTAACTTTCTTTTCATTTTTACAGGGGCCAACAGCTAAGAGTTTGCCTTACATTTCAGAGGGGACTTTGGACTTGGACTTCCAGTAGTGCTGACTCTGTTAGCACCTTGGCAACTCTTGCAGGTGGACTAAACACCTTTTGCATAAAGGGACGTGCATGAGTCTTTGAGGGTTGGGGGCAAGATATTATTAAATGTAATAACATGTTCTAATGTAATATAATGCTGATAGACTTAATATTGGTTCTTAAAGATTGTTAAATCTGTGTTATAATGTTTAAGTTGTGAAGTTATAAGCACATACATGTCTTTGTATCTGGAAACCAGTTTATTTATTTATTTTTGAGGCAGGGTCTTGCTATGTGATTCAGGCTGGCTTTGTGCTCACTTTGTAGCCCAGGCTAGCCTAGAACTTGCAAGGATCCACCTGCCTCAGCCTCTAGGGTGCTGGGATTACAGGAGTGACCACCACACCCAGCCCTGGAAGCCAGTTTAAAGAAAAGCTCTGGTTGCCAAATTGAGGAGGAGTAGATTGTAATGGTTTACATTGTGGCAACGTGAGAAGTCTAGAAGTTTAAGCACCTCAGCAGGGAGCCAGGGTCCTTACTTCACAAAGTAAAGGGGTTTGTTCTCCCCATTTTTGCTCTTGCTGTTTTTTCCTGTCTTCTGCTGCCTTGAACCGTTGTCCCTATGCCACGCTGCCCTGCCATAGAGCCAGCTGATTATGGACTGAAACCTCCACAAACTGTGAGTTAGGTAAATCTTTCCTTCCTTAATTTTGGGTGTTGGATATTTTGTATTAGCAACAAGAAAAAAGTAATGAAGATGCAGGGTTTCACTGGGTAGGCAAGATTGGCCTCGAACTGCCTCAGCTTTCCAAGTGTTGGGATTACAGCGTATGCTACCCTGCCTGGCACCCAGCTGAAATATATTTTAAAGTGTGTAACTATATAAACAGTATAAATGTATAACTGTATACTTTGGTATAACTGTGTAACTATCTTTACTGTCTTGTGTTTATATTTTTTCCATTTCTCTTCCTTCTTTTCCCCTCTCCCTCATTAGTTTCTCGTTTCTTTTGAATAGTTTCTTCCCAATGCACAATATCTATTGTAAATTTTGGATTTTATTTATTGTTCAGCTTCTCATATTAGTGAGACAATGCAATGTTTGCATGTATATATCTGATTTATTTCACTTATGAATATGGTCTCAAGTTGCATCTATTTAACTACAAAAGTCTCAAGTTTATCCTTCTTTATGCCTGAGTAGTACTCCATTGTAAATTTTAAAACCCATATCTTTTTTAAAATCACTCCTTGGTTGATGAGCATTTGGATTGTTTCCAAAATTTAGCTATTACAAATTGTGCTGCTATAAACATAGGTGTACATATATTGCTGTGGTATGATGTTTTTAATTCTTCTGGGAAGACACCAGAAGGGGAATAGCTGTGTTGAATTGGATCTTTAATTCTAATTTTTAAAGGAATCTCCACATTGATTTACACAATGATTGCAGCAGTCTACACTCTCATCAACAGTGTAGAAGGGTTCTTTTTTCCACACAGCCTTTGTCACTGATTTATTTCTTGATAATACTCACTTTTTCTGGAGATGGAAGCTCAGTGTTATTTTAATTTGCTTCTCTTGAATGACCAGTGATGTTGAACATTTTTGATTTATCTGTTATTTGTATTTCTTCCTTTCAGAAATGTGTATTCGTCTCAGATGCCCATTTTTGGATTGGGTCTTTGAATTTGGGGGTCTGACTTTTTTTTTAGTTTTTTTTTTTTTTTTTTTATTGGTACCGGGGATCGAACTCACGACTGCCTGCTTGCAAGGCAGGCACCTATGCCGCTGAGCTAAACCCCCAGCCCCTTTTTTCAGTTCTTTATAATAAAGTCCTTCATTTGAGAGACAACTGGCTACAATTTTTTCCTACTCTGTTTGTTGTCTTTTTACTCTGTTGGTGATTTCTTTTGTTGTGCAAAAGTTTTTTATAAGATCCCATTTGTTGATTTTTTTGTAGTGTTTCTTGGGTGGTCTGGCTTTTGTTCATAAAGTCTCTGCCTACACCTATGTTCTTAAAGTCAGTTTCTTATTTCGTTTTGCAGTGCTACCAGCCATTCAATATGCACTTTGATTTTATTTTTGGTTTTAGGAAATTTTTGTTTTTTTCCCTTAATTTTCACTTTTATATATCATAAGCATATCCCAGTATATTTTCTAGTGAAATATGTTCTTAGTTACATAGTACTACATTTTATAGGCATACCATTTTCATTTACTCATTTAATGTTTAAAATCACAATGGTACGGCACTACGTTTCTGCCTGAATGGCTAAAATTAAAAGAAATTGGCAGTACCATAATGGTCGTACTGGTTTACATTTCCATGAGCAATATAGAAGAGTTTCTTTCCCCTGCACCCTTGCCAGCATTTGTTACTGTTTGATTTTCTGAAGACGGCCATTTTTCCTGGAGTGAGATGGAACCTCAGTGTTGTTTTAATTTGCATTTCTGTAATGATCAGAGATGTTGAACATTTTTTTCTCATACTTGTTGGCAATTTATACTTCTTTAGAGAAGTGTCTATTAATTTCAGGGTCTTTCACTTCTATGGGGTCTAATTTTTCAGATCTTCATATAGTGTAGGTATTAGTGCCCTGACCGAGGTGTACCTGGCAACATGTTTCCCATTCTGTAGGTTCTCTTCAATCTGTTAGTTGTTTCCTTGCTGTGCAGAAGCTTTTTAATTTGATATTCTAAAAACCCATTTGTTGATTGTTAATGTCATTTCTTGTGCAAACTGGGATTCTGTTCAGAAAATCCTTGCCTATATCTTTGTCTTCAAGAATTTTATCTATTATTTTCCAACAGATTGTTTCTGAAAAAAAATACTGCTTCCGCTTTAATATTTAGGTCTTTGATCTGCTATGATCTTAGTTTAGTAAAATAACACCAGATGCGCGCATGGATCCACTTGGATCACCAAGGGACAGGAGACCAACAAAGAAAGGCTCACACACAAGAAGGTAACAGTGATTGCTTGTTGCTTGCTTGGGCAATGGGCTTACCGGAAAAATCATGAGTGCCACCAATTGGTCAGAGAAGGAAAGGGCAGATGACAGAGGCCAGGAGGGGTGGATCCGCAGTTTCGCTGCTGCAAAGGGGAAACGTGGCCTAACCCGGGAGCAGGTCTAGCAGGAACTTTCCTCAGCGCCTCATTCGAAGAAGCAGTTTCTATATAATTAAACCTTGCGCATCTCATAACAACCCTGAGAGGTAGCAGGGCCTGTCCTTACCCGCAGTATTTATTTCCCGACAAATGCAGGCACAAGGTCAAAGGACAAGCGGAGGGCAGAACTGGCACGTTTGCATATGTCCTAGTAAGAGAAGAACACAGACTTGCGCTTGCCCCTCCACTATCACATGCCTGCCTACCCGGTGACCTTGCCACTCTCCAGGGCAACGTCAGCCCAGGTAAGCAACCCTGGCAGTGCAAAAAGAGTACAACGATGCCCAAAACCCTTCTTAAAAGTAACTGAGACTCAAAAGAATTTCTACTTCACGCCAAAATTTTTGGGATCCTGCAAGTTCATGTCAGACGGGTAATGTACCGAGGTCGTAACAAGGTTGAAAGGAGGCACATGTCATGCACAGAGCATGAACACCCAATCATCACGCTTATGAACCTGAGGATCGAGAAAGTAACTTCGTTCTGAATATCCAAGTGTACGTCAACAATTTTTCAAAAAGGGTGACCGTCATAGTGCAAGAATATTCAGTCTTTTTATATATCATTTTATACAGCTAAAAGCGAGCGCTCAGAGCCTGTGAGCGTTCTTGTATTTTCACCTTGCAAAAGAAAACACAAACAAAATGAGCGAGTGGATGCGTCTCTATGCAAATATATTCGCCGTGGCTCCACCTTTTCGGCTTTTTCCCTCCACCAGATTTTTTTACGGCTTTACGACCATACGTCACGAAAGGAAGCGTTACGGCAGTATTGGCGGAAGTGAGTTTTGTGCTTTGCGGCAATGATGTCAGATGGCGCGGGAAGCTGATGAACGCAGATGTAGTGCGAAAGGCTTCAGGTACTGGTAGCGGAGTCCGTGTCATGACCCAGCAGTTTATTGCTTAAACTTCTTTTTTTGTTTTCGCATTTTTTTTCTCTTGCGCCTACAGAAAGAGTAGTTTCTCCAGGGCATCACGTCTGAAACTAGCAGAAAGGCCTTGCCCTTACATACAGTGCTGCCTTGCCCTTTACTTGTTGCTACTTCCGTTCTTTGGGACACCTCTGGCCTCGGGATCGTCACCGCTCCGGTTGGTCGGGTCCCCGCCGGCTCCCGTATTGGTCCCCTGGATGCCGGGCGAGGCTGGCGGGCCTCTGGGCGCTGCAGTCTGCGCCATGGAGCGGAGCGGGGCCTCCCCGCCTGCAGCGCCGTCGCCCTCCGACCTCGGGCGCGCCCTCGCCGGAATGTTGGTTCGTCTGACCGGCCAGGAGGTGCGACGGCGCAGCACAGGAGACGACGCTTTGGAAGACCTCAGTGCTCTATTAGAAGCCACAGAATGCGACAGATTGTTTGGGAAGAGTGGTGACCCCCAACCCCAAATGCCCGAGATGCTGGGGGAGGTGGCAACAGCCCTGGAGAAGTACGCAGCCCCGCCCAAAGAGAATGGAGCGGGAGAGCACGGTTCCTTCGAGGTGGCCGAGAAAGCAGCAGAAGTTGGACTGCTATTTCTTAAGCTCCTGAGGAAAGTGGAGGCTGCCAAGAATTCTCCTGTCTGCCCTGAGTGGAGGACAGGCCTGCGTCACTTGGCAGGACCCGTCTATGTTTTCGCCGTCACACACAGCTTAGAGCAGCCCTGGACCAGCCCACGGTCTCGGGACGTAGCAGGACAGGTGCTCGCTTTGCTGCTGCAGGTTACTGATTGCAAGTCTGCGGCAGGTTTCCTCCGCGGGGAAGACGAAGAAGAGAAAGGTAGATTTACTGTGATCCTGGGGCTTCTCAAACCCAGCTTGAATAAGTAAGTACTCTTGCCCTTTGCCACTGACGTGGGCGCTGGTCGAAAGTTTTAGAGCTTGGGGGCTGGGGATTTAGCTCAGCGACATAAGCACCTGCCTTGCAAGCAGGCGGTCGTGAGTTCGATCCCCGGTACCGGTAAAAATGAAAAAGACAAAAAAAAAAAAAAAAAAAAAAAAAGAAAGTTTTAGAGCTTAAAGGGATTTGAGTTTCTTCAACAGGAAGCTTATAAGGACGTTGTAATACCAGATCTTTTAAGGACTAGAGAGTCTGTGATTTGCTCAAAATGAACAAACTAGACTAGCAAATTTGATATCAGAACCCAGTTTCCTTCCAGCGCTGTGCTTTGAAAGTTGATAATTCTGACAACTGATGAAGAAAATTGGAAATACCGTCTGTCTAGAACTAAATAGCTTGTCAGGTGAGCATTAGGGTTTGAAGAGAAGTTAAACTTATGGTTCCAATTTAAGCTTAGATGTTTTTAAATTCGTTGCTTGTTCGTAAGAAAAGTTATTAGGGAAGCAGTATTTGAAATGAAAAAGTATAAACCTTTTAGATTACTACTCGCTAAAATACTTTTTGTGAGTTCCCAGTTGTTATTTTGTTAGTGTTTGTAGAACTGAAGTAAGGAGAAAAAAGGCCCGTAACTCATTTTCTCAGGAATTTGGGGTTAAAAAGGCTTGAATTTTAGACGAATACGGCTTCTAATTGCTGAGTAGGACAAGGTTATATAGGCTCTCTGAATCTGTTTCATTGTTTGTAATAGTAAGATAACATGCCTACTACACAGTTACTATTTTGAGGATTAGGTGAGTCATTTATAAGGTGTAAATTGGTATCCAGAGGTTCCTTCATAATAATGTTAGACATTTCTTTTACTTCTCTTCCATCTCAGCACATCTTCACTGTGTAAGTTATGTAAGTTGTTTTAATGCACATCGTAACATGTACAGCCGAATGTTGTGAATGAAGAGTTTCTGGGGAGGGGGTCACTGGAGATTGAACCCGGGCTTTGTGGGTTCTGAACAGCCATCTCACTGCAGAGCTGTATCACCAGCCCTCCTTGTTTTGTTTTGTTTTAATTTCATGGTATTAGGGATGGAACCTAGAGCCATCACACTGGACTGAATCTCCAACCTCTTTTATTTATCTACCATAAGACAGGGGCTAAGTTGTCCAGCTGGATTTGAACTTGTGACCCTCTTACCACCCCTCCTGTAGTGTGGGGATTACAAGTGTGCCCCACCGTGTCCTGTCCCCAGCCCTTTTTATTCTTATTTTGAGACAGGATCTCACTAATTTGCTCAGCCTGGCCTGGAACTCTTGATCCTTCTGCCTATACCTCAAACAGCTAGGATTGTAGGATGGGCCTCCACACCTAGCTGACCTGGTTAATGTTCAGTCCGGGTTGATATCCTGTCACTGTGCTCAGTGTGATTTCATGTATCCCCTTAGGGAATCCTGGAAGAATAACCCTGCGGTCAAACACATTTTCTCATGGACTCTGCAACAGATCACTCGGCCCTGGCTGAACCAACACCTTGAAAGGATACTTCCCCCATCGTTGCTCATTTCAGATGATTACCAGACTGAGAACAAAATCCTAGGTGTGCGCTGCCTGCATCACATTGTGCTTAATGTGGTAAGCGAAGTCTGCTGTCGCCTGCAGTGATGGGACAGAGTGACCCATTGTTGGCCATTCTTTATGATATAACTGTTAATTTTGCTTACATTTACTTTTAAGTCTCTTGTTAAAGACAACAATTGTAATAGAAAGCTTGTTAAGTTCACTTATTTATTTTTCTCCTTTAAACTTTCCCTCTGCCAACCTGATAGAATCCATATATTTTAAGGTAATATATTAAAAGGATAATTATGTGGCTCAGGGCATAGCTCAGTGGTAGTATGTGTGCTTAGCATGCTCAAGGTCCTGGATTCTATCCCCAGCACCAAAAAACAAACAATCCTCCCAAACAGCAACAAACCAAGATAATTATAGAAGAAATAAGATGTCAGTCATTACCACACTGAGTAACTAGACATTGAGTGATCAGTAGTTGACTTTCAAAAAGCAAAAAACAAGTAAGAACCTGAAAGGGACTGTACAAAATGTATAAGCTATTACTGAAACTTTTTATAAACTTTATATTGTGGAGCTTTCAAAATATACACAGAAATAAGCCAGGTATAATGGCGAATGCCAGTAATCCCAGCATTTGGGAGGCTGAGACAGGAAGGTTGTAGTAAGTTTTAGGCCAGCCAGGGCTACATAGTAAGTTTAAGGCCAGTCTAAACTATAAGGCAAGACCCTGCCTCAAGATAATAAAAAAAGTATGTAAATAAATATACACAGAAGTAGAATGATATGTCTCCATGTTACCTATAATCCAATATCAGAAATTACCAAGAGTTTGCCAATGTGGGGAGAGCTTTCTTTTAACTGGATATTTTGCCTGATTGCAGCCGGTTGCTGATTTGCTGCAGTTTAACAGAGCCCACGTCCTTTATCATGCCCTTTTCAACCATCTGTACACACCAGAGCACCAGCTCATTGAGGTACTGTAAGAGTGGTTTATGACTGCCTGGATTCTCTAAGCTGAGTAGAAAATGGCATTTTGTAAGTAGGAATAGTTAAGAGATATTTTCCTTTCTTGGAAGTTGAGGACAATAACTGAAGGTGTTGCCAAGTTAAAAATATTTCCGTCACCAAGCAGGCATTTGGATTCCTGAATCTTCATAGAAAAGCCAGTTTTGTCTTTGTGTGGGTCCATTATCTAAAAATACTTTTGTAAAATTAATTTAAATGTTCTTTGCTGCCCTCCATCAACCCATGTATTGAAAACTCTGCATGTAGATACCTTTATTCTTTTTGTTCAGCAAGTATTAACTACTCTGTGTCAGTAACTGTAGGTTCCAAGGGTAAGTGAATTGGACAGAGATTCTGGCTCTAAGAAACCCTTTGGAAGGGCAGTTGTGGATGTGTGATTATGTAGCTCTGTATCTATCTAAATACCATTCGGTGATAACCGTGAGAAGAGGTTTGTGTGAAGTGTAGTGGGTATTCTGTAATAGGCAACTAACCAGGCTTAAGATGGTGTTGGAGAACCAGGGGTATAGCTCAGTGGCACAGATGCCTGCCTGGCAAGCACAAGGTCCTGAGTTTGATTCCCAGTACCAAAAAAAAAAGAAAGAAAATTTAAAAAAAGATGATGTTGGAGCTGGTTTTGGGAGGCTTTGGAAGGAAGCTTTAGGGAGGATGTTTGCTTAGAAAGGTGATTGGGAATTTCTTACGAGGGAGAATATTCTGGAGACTGAAAAAACAAGTTACATAAAATTAGCAGCAGAGGCATCTTTTGTGTGTGTGGGGACTGACACTGAAAACTTCAGACAGTGGTCAAATTTGATATAAATTTGGGCCATCTCAGATTCTATGTGGGAGTGTTTTTATTAAAAGTATGTAAATTTTGTGTCTCACTAAGTCACTCAAACTGTGACTTAGTGACAGTAGGCATAGAATCCCTACATCTAGGTTAAGCCCCCATTCTATCATTCTTCCCGGTTTAAAGAATTTTCCCAAGGACAATATATTAACTTGAGACTGTCAGAGGCAGATTAAGAATATGAACAGAGTGTAAAAATGTAAATATGCACTTTATCATACCATTTATGCCAGATTGATATTTTGAATTTTTGCATGATATGTGTTACCTAGAAAAATTCAAGGAACAAGGATTTGAAAGAAACCCATTTCATTATGTTCTGCTATTATGAATATTCCAAAACTGGATCACTAGACATGGAAGGGTTAATGTACCTTAAGGATGATAGATTAATGACACTTCTTTTAAAAAATCAAAGAGTGTCATGAAGGCAAATAGAGGAACTATGTATCTTCTTCCGTGCCTTCCTCCTAGGCTGTGCTCCTGTGTCTGCTGGATTTATTCCCTGTCCTGGAGAAAGCCCAGCGCTGGAAGGGTGATGGGGTTCGACCAACCACACACTGTGATGAGGTGCTGCAGCTCATGCTGACCCACATGGAGCCAGAGCACCGCCTGCTCTTGCGCAGGACCTACGCAAGGAACCTGCCAGCCTTTGTGGGAAGGTGGGCACCTGGGCTGCTGGCCTGCCCTTCACCCCAGCTCTGTCTCTTAAGTGTTTTCGCTTTTGTTCTTAGATTGGGGATCCTAAGTGTCCGGCACTGGAAGAGGTTAGAGAGAGTCATCGTTGGTTATCTGGAAGTGTATGACGGACCAGAGGAGGAGGCCAGGTTGAAGATACTGGAAACCCTAAAGCTTCTCATGCAGCATACCTGGCCCAGGTATACCGGTTACAGCATTCAGACAGGTGTGCTGGGAAGGGACACGCCCTGAGGTACATTCAGTGTAGAGTAGCAAGTGCACAGGCTGTACCTGAATGCATTCTATTTTCACACACTTATGGGATTTTGAACTGAGAACATGACAGTAAAAAGTTAAAATATATTTTCGGTTACAGTTAAATCACTTTTCAGGTATATCCCAAATGACTTAGTGTTCTGAAGAATATTCGCTGAAGTACTTTTTTTAGTGCTAGGGATTGAACCCAACACCTTTACACAGAGCTACATCCTCATCTCTTTGAGGCAGGGTCTCTCAGAGTTGCTCAGGCTGGGCTCTGATCTGGCAGTACTCTTGCCTCAGCCTCAGACTGCTGGGATTACAAGCTTGCACTTACCATGCCCAGCCCTGCCCAGGTAATTTTTTGATACCAGACTGAAGAAAAAAAAATTCTTGGTTAAGTAGTTTGGAAAACCTTGCAGATTATGTATGTTGCCAGGTTTGTAACTCATGCAATGAGAAGGCAAGTGAAGTGCTCCATTAGACATGCTTCTTTCTCATCTGAAGTTCCTTAAATGCAAGGAGTACCTCATAGCATGTCCTTTAACATCTGCAGAGCAGGGATCTGAGTGCTGATTTAGGGTATGCCAGCTGTGGCTCACAGAAGGTGCCTGAAATAAACAGGACCCCAAACCACTGAGTCAGCAGCAAGCTTTCTTGCATGGATTAACTGAAGGCTTAATTCAGCCAGAGAATCTAGTGCTCCAACATACAGCATCTGTCCTGTGCCATGTTGTGTCTCTTACAAACATACTGCCCCAAGTAACTTTTCCCCGAGAATCTTTTCCCTTGTCACATTTGTAACTAGATCTCATCTGTTTATGGTCTTTTCTCTTCCCCTAACCTATAAAGAAGTTTATGGAAGGTCATATCTATTATGTGTTAACTACCCAGAATTAGGTGTGCAGGTATTAAGAGTAAATGGACTAGAAGAGAATGAAGTTGAATCAAATTAATTCTGTGCCAAGATTCCCAAAGTCCAGGTCTATGTGAGAGGCAAACACAGGAAGTGGTGGACAGAGAGCAGGATTGAATGACAGACAGAGGCTTGGAGAGGCTCCTAACCCGTGCAGCAAGCTCAGGGTGTTTTAGATGAAGGGATTAAAACTTCTCTCCCAGACACTTCTGTGTAGAAATACTTTTATTGTGTATATTTTCACATTACAAGTTGAATTATTTTCCAGCTTTCACAACAGTACAGTTTTATTGTGGTTAAAAAAATATAAAAATTTATCATCTCAAAGGGTATGACTCAATGGCAGTAAGTACCATACAAGTGTTAACATAACCATATCCCTATCCATTTCCAGAAATTTGTTTTTCAACTTCTACAAAGCTTAATTATTCTAAGAAAATTGGTTGGACTTAACTGATAGTAACAGGAGACTTGAGGCCATAGTCTGAAGGCGGGTCTCTGTTTGTTCCCAGAACCAGGCTTTTCATGTCATTTAGCTCCTGACTTTAGTGGCCTCACTTATTAAATGAGGGCTTTTGACTGGGCAGCCTTTGAAGCCTCTTCAAGTTGGAATATCTGTTTACAGTGTGAACAGATTTCCCTCCTGATTCCAGAGTTGCCTGCAGACTTGTGGTCTTACTGAAGGCTCTCCTGAAACTGATCTGTGACGTGGCGAGGGACCGGAGCCTCACACCCGAGCCCGTCAAGGACGCCCTGCTACAGGAGGCCACAGGCTGCCTGGTTCTCCTGGATCACTGCTGTCGAGGGCAGGTGAAGGTAAGGCAGTCTGCGGCGGCTTTCACTTGGGCCTCATTCTACTTAGGTAACCGATGTGATTGGTGAGAATTTACTGTTCATCTTCTGGATGAGTCTGGAAGTGAGCAGGGAGGTTTTAGGTCCCACCTCTGTGCCCCCTAGTCTTCAATAGTTTTGATCAATGCCCTTTTTTTTCCTTTATTTTTTGACTGCTGAAGATGAAACCCGGGACTTTGCACATGTTACTGATCTATATGGCCTTACACCCTCTTACTCTTCCCAAGTTATTCAGAACTCCATAGAGCAAAAGGCAAGAAAATCAAGTTACCACTGACTGACAAGAAACAACAAGCAGGGGCTGGGGATTTAGCTCAGCGGGCATAAGTGCCTGCCTTGCAAGAGTGTGGTCATAAAAAAAAAGAGAGAGAGAGAACAAGCAAAAGCATTGTATCAGAGTTTGTAACATTTAAGTTGCTCTTATGAACTGAAAAAAGGGAATGGGCTCAAAGCCACCAGAGTAACACAGTGATTCAGAGTGATCCCCATGCCTGAAACATTTCCACTGGGGGGCGAGGGGGACCATCTCTTAGATGCATGATTTTTCACTTCTTATTTGTCCACAAGGGAATTACTGCACTGGTTCCACATCCCACAAAAGTCAGATTCTCAAGGCCATGGCTTATAACACCGGTGTGTACCTTTATATGCCTCCATGAACTAGTTCTGTCAACTATTGTCTGCAGGGATTTTTACTTGAAAGACTGAGTACAGCATGAGAATAAATTTATACCCTAAAAATATTTAGAGACAGCATGAGTTTTATACCAGTTCTGACCATACGCTCTCCTCTAGTGTTATCCTTGGAAGAATAATTCAGGTAAAAGTGAAGAGCAAGCAAACTAACAAAAAATCCTCAGTTTTGTGGCACCTCAGGGCCCGTCTGGTCTCCTGTTTCAGGGTCTCCTGGCCAGAATCCTCCTGAGCTGTGAGGACCGAAAGGTGGTGAGCTGCCTCAGGGAAGTGTGCCAGGGCTCTGAAGCTGCACCCTGCCACGGGGTGTGAGATTCTTCCCAAGAGGAAAGGTTTTTCTTTCTGTCCCACACTGACTGTATGAATGCAGTGCTGCAAAAGGTATTTTTATATTAAACACTTTAAGTTGGAATTTTTTTCTTCTCCTGTTCCTTTCATTCATTAAATTGGAAAAGGTAAGAAAAAATTGAAATCCTACCATTTCTAAATGAAGTTTAGGAAGAAAAAGAGAAGGACACCAAAGAATTCAGTGCTTAAAATTTAGCAATATGTACACCCACAGTCTCACTCCACCTGAAGGAAATCATCTGTTCAGCTCCTTGGGTTCAACACATAAGCTATATAAACACTTCACCACATACAGTTTCCTCCACTCAGTTCGTATTTCTTGCCCCAGTAAAGTAGTATAAATATTAAAACACAAATATTGTGTGAAATACAATACGAAAGAGCCAAAAACTGGAGGTGTGTGTAAGATAAAAAGAAAGACTTCCGAACCTCAGTCCTGCTTACACCTGGGGTGAAATCACGTGGTTTTGGCCTTGGCCGTGGGCTCTGTCTCCTGCTCATACTCTATCTCCACGTAGGCCCGTTTCCTGCGCAGAGCTCCTTTCAAGGGTGTTTTCCCTTTGGGTTTCGCATTAGCCTGCTGTTCCTCCTCACTGGATGATTCATCATCCTGATCTTCATCACTGGCCTCCAGTTTATCCATATCCTAAAACACAGAGAGAAGGTCCATCAGGAGAGAAAACACAGGATTTCCCAAACTTCTCACTGATCAGAAACCCTCTTTCCTTTGCTACAGGCCAATGACTTCTTTTTGGTCTTTTTTTTTTTTTTTTTTTTTTTTTTGTCTTTTTCATTTTTACCAGTACCGGGGATCGAACTCACGACTGCCTGCTTGCAAAGCAGGCACTTATGCCGCTGAGCTAAATCCCCAGACTTCTTTTTAAACCAAAGCTCACCTCAAAATCACTTAGGTCACTCTCGTCCACTTCATCATCTTCCACAAATTCTCTTTTTCCCACATCCTAAAATAAAGCAGTACTTAGTTTTAAAATACATAATGAAGATAGAGCTGAGATGCTAGCTTAATTTTTTAAGTGCATAAATAACCAGAATCAAAACCTATGTATCAGGCAATCAAAATTAGAAATTCTCAATTTAAGTCTTCTGAACTTAAAAAATGCCTGATGTCAACCATCAGAGATAAAACACCTTTAAGGCTAAAATTGTTAATAGAGAAGCCACTGCTACATCAAAATTCATTTCCTAATGGTGGGAAAGGCGATTAAAGTTATTTCAGTTAGAGGGCTAAAGATAATACTCTTATCTCAAGGTCACTGCTCATCAAAAAAAACTTACTTCTTCATCATCTTCCTCTTCTTTCTCCTCCTCGGCTTCTGAAGACTCGCTCTCTGCCTCCTGTTGCTCCAGGGCTTTGTCAAAGGCGTGAATGGGAAAGTTGTAGATGTCACCGTACTGAAGGAGAAACATCAGCTTTACTTGCACTGGGCACTAAGCTTCAACTGCACTACTATAAAAGCCTATTATTTTTTCCTTACTGATTAAATGAAAATAGCTGATGAGGGCCACTTCTGTATTATTTGCAAGCCTAGAGCTGGCTATTGTTGGTATTTACATAATCAGTGGTTAGCATCAAACAATCAGCCTGTATGAGAGAGGGAACCAATCATTTTGTAGGTTATAAAACCCATGCATTGGACAAATGGAGTTTTGCTAACAAGACAATACTGTATTTTTGTCTATAAATGACAGTTTTATTTAAAAAAGACATTTTAACATTTAAAAAACCTTAAAAGACTGATGTAATATGCAGAAAGACCAAATCCTAAGACTTTTATACAAAGACCAGGCACTGCTGAGTTTAGAATGAGAAATGCAAATAACAGCAAACACAAGGTTTTCCTGGGCTCCAACTATAAACTAAAATGAGAAAGCTAGGCCTGTCTAAATTCTTATTTCAAGGGTAAAATCATTGTGGGGGTCTTTCTAGCATCTTTACAAATAATGTACATTTCCCAACAGTTCCCAGCACAGTACCACTTGAAACACCGCCTGGGCCCCCGCGCTAGGGGCTGCTGGGGCCGCCTCACCGTGTCCTGTTTCAGCCTCTCCAGCAGTTCCTTCTCAATGGCGTTGTCCAGCTGAGCAGCTATTAACGCCTTTTCCTGTTCAAGAAAAGAACAAAAGCCATTCACTTCACTGGTGCTTATTTTTTGGACCAAGTTTTTAAAAAACACATGTGTATGAGTCCCACTACATACTATTACTGGGGTTTTTGCCTCTTCAACAACATAATTTCTTTTTCCCTCCAAATCCTGTTGGGAATCTTTCAATTGAAAGATTTTCAGTTTTATAATATTTTATACGAAATTCTAACAAAGCCTTTAATACATCAAATATATGTCTGCTTACACTCAAAATTCCAGAAAATTAGCAGCCCTAAAGCCAAACCTTGTTAAAAGCTTTCAGAGTAGCTGGTTATCTAATGTTATATTTAGCACTTAAATAAATATACTTAAAAACAAAAGCATCACTTAATAGTGAGTTGGAGGAAAAAAATTATGTTAAAAATGCCTTCAGTGAACAGGTATAAAGAAAAGTAGGGGCTGGGAATAGCTCAGTGGCAAAATGCCTGCCTGGCAAGCGGAAGTCATGAGTTCGATACCTGGTACCAAAAAAAAAAAAAAAAAGGAAAGAAAAAGAAAACAAAGAAAGAAAAATAAGATTTAGAATGTGGCACTACAGCCACTAACCTAACATGTGCCAGGGCTTGGGTTCCCTAGAATGGGTACAGGATGGGGAGGGGGGTGGAACAGAAAGTGATCTTATCTACATGTAATGTTGCTGAACATGTTTCCTATAAAACTGTGATTACACACTTTAAAAATTTGCAAATAGAATTTTCCCATTTATTCATTCTTTCATTCATTTAGGCACTGGGAACCAATCTCAGGATCTTGTGTTTGCCAGGTAGGCGCTGTGCCGCTGATCTTCCAAATTTACTTTCCCGTCTGTTAGAGACAGGATCCTACTATGTAGTCCAGGTTGGCCTTGTGTTACCTTCCTGCCTTTGCCTGCTGAGTGCTGTAATTAGAAGTATAGGCCACCATGCATAATCCCTAATCTATTTTTGACAGTGTACCATTTAAGTAAAACTAGCAAAGTTTTTTATTCTGAAAAGTTTATGAAAATACCCATTTGACAATTACCTACACATAATTGGTAAAAAAGTAAAAAGCAGCAAGTAATTGATGTAAATAATACATTTCTCTTTGTGTCTTTGAGGTATCATTCTCTTTGCTATCATTTGGACAGCACTGAAAGATAATATTTACTTTCAGCTAAGAACCAGACTTTTTTCTATATCACAAATTTATTTATGATACACACTGCACTGTTAGTAGAAGTATACATATATAATATTTACAAGTAAAAGCTGGGTGTGGTTGTGCATACCTATAATCCTGGCACTCAAGAGGCTAAGGCAGGAGGCTCATTGTGAGTTCGAGACTAGCCTATGCTACAAAGTGAGCTTAAGGCCAGCCTGAACTGCATAGTGAGATCTTGTGTCAAAAAAACAGAACAAAACAACAACAAAAAAAACCTTGTAAGATTTGTGTTGAGGAGTACGTGTTCAAGAAGTTTACTAATAGGCCCTTTGAAAATGTGTAGACCAATGATATGACAGATCTAATAATGGCAACAAAACCATCAAAAGATTATTGAGGCTGTTTCTTAAAAGAACATGACAAATGCTCAGGCAGATCTGTTGGTGAAAGGGAGGTAAATAAAGCAAGTACCAACAATGATTGATAATTTTGTCAAGGAAGACTGAAAAATTTTGCAGCTGAAGCCTAAGAAAATTCAGCTTGATTGAGGTGAGTTGGGTGGGCAGACAGATTACTGTGTGATGAGAGGCTAGATGCCTGACTACAGTATATTTTCTACAACTAGGACAGTATTACTACTGTTCATTCCTTTGTAACAAAATGGCCCAGTTTACCTCAAAGAAGCAACTAATTTCAGGTCTGTTTCCAGTTACTTATCAGTCAATTCAAAATCCTAACATGCATCTTAGCAACCAAGTATGGCCAGAGCAGCCAGGAGCCCTGCTGTGGTTTACACCCAGGTGCTGTCCCGAGCCTCCTATGAGCACAGGCAGGACCTCTGCACGGTGACCAGACTATGGGGCCGATTGCTGGGAGGAAGAAGACCTGGTCTGCACAGATGGATGCTGAAGGTGTGGCCCAGAAGCATTTTCTCCCTTCCAGCTCCTCTCTGGAACTCACTGGATGCTGTGAGCAGCTGGTCGGAGCCAGCTGAGTTTGGACTGAAACCTCTACCAAGTGGGAGTCAAAATAAACCCCTCCTCTTTTAGGATGTGGGTGTCAGGCACTGTGTTTCAGAGACTAGGAAAGTAAGTATGATCAGGCTACTTAAAGACACTGAGGAAAAGGGGCTGGGGATTTAGCTCAGCGGCATAAGCGCCTGCCTTTAAAGCAGGCAATCGTGAGTTCGATCCCCGGTACCGATAAAAAGGGAAAAAGACAAAAAAAAAAAAAAAAGACACTGAGGAAAAATCCATCTAATGAGAACATTCTTACAATTCTAATATGCTTGGTTAGAAGGCTTAGACTTTGCTGAAGGTGATGTAATATTAGGATTTTGACAACATTTAGCAACATTAAGGTTTTGAATTCTCACACACTGGACAAACATCAGGAACTACCGATAAGTTACAGATCTCTATTCTTTTACCCTTCACTATGTATATCCCCAGAGCAATCATGTTTTCATCACCTGCCGTGGAAGTCATATAAAATGGGAAAAATCAGATGTAAGCACTAACTCTGTTATCCATTAGTGAACATTACCTACTAACAATTCAGATGGAAGACTGACTAACCTCCTCATTCGTCCTCTGTCCACTGTCCTCTCAAGGAAAATACAGAAACTATGATTATCAGAATAGTAACTTACCTCTCTTCTCTTCTCCCTGCGCTCCACCTTCTTACTCAAAGGAACAAGTTTTCTCCTAGGAGAAATATATCACATTATCAGAAAACACGGGTTCACCTGCCATGTGTTCCTTTTAAAAGATAAAAAAAAGGACAGGAAGTGGTTCTGTGGGCTCAGGTCAAGAGCAAGATATCCTGCTTACAAGCTCTAGAAAAGGGTAAAGTTCTTACATTCCTGTTTATTCACATTTTGGGGATTACTTCCAAATCTCTCATGTTAACATACACCTTTAAAATTTCCTTATCTTAGCGTACCATAAAAGACAATGTACAATGCTGAATCGGACAGAAAGGATTATTAGAGGATTTATATGCTCTATGGAAACAGGATAGATTTAAAAGTAAACAACTGAATGCTCCAAATACTTACTGTCGCTTTAGTGTAAGTTTTCTAATTCGGATTAGATACTGGGTTATCTTGGTGAATCTCTGCTTACACTTGTGTCGAATGAAGCGGGGCCAGTAAATCAGATTTTCATCAATTTGCTCCAGTGCTTTCTCATAGTTTTTACTAAGCCGGACCTGCCAGACCAAAAAAAGGAAGCTTGTGGGGCCAGGGTAAATGACTGATTGTGCTTCCCCATCAACACTGTTTATGGGGGTCAAATGGGGATGCTTCACAAGTTTAATCTAGACATGGGCAAAGAAGAGGGAAAACCATGTCGCACTTTTGGTGTTGATCAATGGTCATCATAGTTTTATGGTTATATCTTACCCGTTCCCAGAGACGCCTAGGAAAAGCTGCTCGTTCTATAACCTTCATATACAAGTAGCACTGTCCTAAAGCATAAAATAGAATACTCTTAATATTATTTTAAGGATTAAAGAACATCTTTTTAAAGGATGTTTAGTAGTTCTCATGGAAGTTAAAACCAGGCAGTTACCTTTCTCTTCTTTGACAGTGGCATACTGACTGTTTGCCAGGGGACAAGATGACCGATTACACAGTCCAGTCAGGCTATATTCATTTCTGCAAAAGCCTTGAGTCTTAGTTCTAGGACGGGAGGAAAGAAACAAAGATTATAAAATGGTTATCAAGAGAGCAACTAAAAGAATTTTTGTCTAAGATGCCAACCTAGACCCACCTTATTTTGAAGGAACAAAATTGCTTATTTCCCAGTGTATCCCAGATAACCTGCAAGACACAGAAAACAATCCATTTCAGTTGCTCTGGCCCACCAGATGCCGCATGAAGTCAAAAAAGACAGTGCTCTAGGGCAGTCCCTGCTTTACTAAGGAGAGGAATCTTTAAGGAATGAAGTTAGAAATACTTTGTAAGAAAGCTTGACTTGAATTAATAACAATAATGTTCTCACTACTCAGATTAAATTTCATTAGTATTCTGCAATTTTCCAGAATTTTTTCTATATGTGTCCATCCAACCAACTGTAATATGCCTATGTATTTTTAATAAAAATACATCTACTTTGCAATTTCCTTTACACAGTATATTCATTGGTCACTGTTAAAAGATGCATGGGACTACATTGTAATATACGTATGGTTAATCTATATGTATGCTTAATCTGGCTGCTACCCTTCACCAGCTGAAGTTCTCTTTAGCCACTCAGCATTTATTATGTATGTGTATGTGTGTGTGTGTGTGTGTGTATATATATATATATATATATATATATATATATATACACTTAATTCAGGTACAGGACATACATCTCCAAGTCTTGACACATAGTAAGCACTTAAGTATAATTTGAAAGAAAATATCCTTCAGAGCTTTACCAATTTAGGGAGGGAAGTATATAAATAACATATCACAAAGTAGCAAAGAGCCACACAAAATAGGCTTTCAGCAACTGAGAAAAAGCTTTGAAACAGTTAAGGAAAAAACATACAAAAAAGGGTGAGGGCAGAGAACACATCTTGGGCTTTTATAGGTATGTCTGGTGGGAGGCAGAAGGAATAGGTAATAAACTGGAAAAGCAGGACGCTCATTCAGGCCTGTGGTTTTACCTATCATTTCTAAAAGGATGGCTCCAAAATCATCTCTCAATTCTTTCCTGAGTAACAGATTGTCTATGCATCTAGCTACCTACTTGACACCTCAACTTGGATATTTGAAAGTTATTAGAGTAGAGCATTTAGCCCAGAGTGGTGGTGCATGCCAGTACTCCCAGCACTCGGGAGGCTGGGGCAGGTGGAGGGCCTTGAGTTTGGGACTAACCTGGGCTATATAGTGTTTAGGGCCATCCTGAACTATATAGCCAGGTGCTGTCCCAAAAAGCAAACAACAAAAAAGCAGTTCTTAATTCCACACCACTCTGAAAAATAAATATGGCATTCTTTCTGTCTTCTCCATTTCAGTAAATAAAACACTGAAAGTTTAGTTTAAATCCAAAATGTCTAGATCTCGGGGCTGGGGATTTAGCTCAGCGGCATAAGAACCTGCCCTGCAAGCAGGCAGTCGTGAGTTCGATCCTCAGTACCGATTAAAAAAAAAAAAAAAAAGTCTAGATCTCTTTCTTTTGTTCACTTAATCTGTCATCAAACTTGTCAGTTGCACTAATAAAACATATCTGAACATCATCCATTTCTTTTCATCTCCATCATTACTATCCTTGTCTTTTGTTTTCATGTTTTTCTCTCCTTCCACAGTCCTTCACACATCCAGCAGAAAGGTTGCACAAAGGCATATCACATGCCCTCTCGTTAAAAAACCAAAAGACAGTGCCTAAAATACAACTGATGTTGGTCTGGCAGGCATATATATAACTCATTATCTCTCACGCTCTCGATTCCTGTAGCGGGGAACATTGGTGTCCTTTTTGTTCCTTCTCTCTTCAGATCTTTGCACCTTCACTGGTCCTATCTCGCCGAGTACTTCCAGCTCGCCCCGGGCTGGCTCATTCTCATCTTTAGGTCCGTATGTCTGCCTCACTGAGCACGTTGCTGGAGAGCAGGCTAACAATCCAATGCCCAGTAATTGCAATACTTGGTACGCTCTAAGCACGATTTTCTCAACAAACAGCTCAATGAATACAGCTGTTTCGGAAATTATAACTTAGGCAGATAGTATCGCAAACGCAAAGAAATATCTAACATAAGGAAAGCAGTCTAAAGAGGCTCACACGGATAGACGCGAAGGGACCCTTACATATTCAGTATACACCGACCTCCCTTCCGTCCAAGTCCCAAAGCACGGACAGAATGGAACAAAGTGTCATCGCTAGGCACCAAGCACTGGGCGAGTCGGCCCCTGGACACGCACGTAGCCCATTTTAGAAAACTCAAGTCTGGAGGTCTCGCGACCGGAAATCCGCGAGGCAAACACATAGGCCAGCTGAGTGTATATGTGGCTTCTAAACATGTCTTAAACTGGGCGAAATTTCCCTCGCACACGCCAGAGCGTCAAAGCAAGAGGGGACTCACATCATCTGATTGCATGGTGTCAGCCGCCCCACGCGCAGAACCTCGCCGGAGGAGAGTGGCAGTCACGCTTCTTCCCGGCAGTCATTTCCGCAAAGCCCAGCCTCAGCTATCGCGAGAAAGCCCGAGATTCTAAGTGAGTCGCAGCCTCTGACGTTTTACTTCCATGTGCGCCTGCGCGGGGTCGTCAGCTAGTTGCAGGTTGAAGCCGCGGGTATTTGTCTGCATCATCTAGGCTGGCGGGCTCCTTGGGGTGAGAAGTGAGCTCGGGAAAGGTGCGGGCTGTGCTCGCCTGCGGGTCAGACCTGTTTGCGCGCCTTTCTAAGTGCGGAGCTCGAGTTCGGCGACGGGCTTTCTTTTGTAGCCGAAGACCCGCTCCTCCTTTCTTGTACAGCCGGTCAAGTGTGCCACGCCCTGGAACCTTTTGACCTTAATTCCCTGGGCAGATCAGGTTTCAGATACCACGCCGGCCAGGTAGCTCTGTAATCCCACCTATTGCCGAGGCTGAGTCGGGAGCATTCCAAGCGCTGGCCCAGTTTGGCAGTTTTAGCTGAGACCCTGCCTCGAAATTATAAAATTAGAACGGTTGGAGTGCTTTTCTCACGCATTCGGGCGTGGCCTACTTCGCTAGAAGAAAAATTCATAGTAGTTGAGGTAGTTTTACAAAACAAAGGTTTTTAAACCAGAAGAACTAGGGAGGTTGAGTCAGGAAGATTGCCCAGAGTTTGAGGCTAGAGTTTGACACTGTCCCAAACCGTAAAAGAGTAAGAAGAGCAGTCTGTGGATAAGGACGAATTCATTTGAAGGCATATTACATGTGAACTAATGAGATATGTCGTAACAGTTGTGCTGCATGCTGGTGAAAACTGGTATTCAGAGCTATTGATTTTGGAGCCAAATTTAGGTTATAAAAACCAACAACCAGTTACTAGGTATCTTCAGGCAAATCACTTTTTTTTTTTTTTTTTTTTTTTTTTGTCTTTTTCCTTTTTATCGGTACCAGGGATTGAACTCACGACTGCCTGCTTGCAAGGCAGGCGCTTATGCCGTTGAGCTAAATCCCCAGCCCGCAAATCACTTTTATGAAACTTGTCCTATTTGGAATATGGAGTATGTGAGGATTAGAGTTATATTAAGTGTATAACTTGCTTCATACAAGGAGTTGTGATTATTCTCATTGCAAAATTGTCCTGTATAAGGTTGGTTTAGAGACCTAGAGGTGGGTCACTCACCCTGCAGGAAAGCCAAGTTATAAGCACTATGGCAGGAGTAAAAGGCTGGTTGTACCCAGCACTTGCACTACTTTGTAGTGAAGGTTGTGTGTTTCTGTTTGATTTAATCTAACACTTTAACATCACAAATGACTGTGAATAATGATGATTTGTTAGCACATCTAAGTGGTGGCTCTAGTGAGCTTCATATTGAAATGTGTAATGTACAGCCCTCCTGCAAGTGAGGAATATTCCTAATTAGGAGTAATGTAGGAATTTGGGCTAGTTTATCTTTTTTAAAAAAGCTATACAGTAAGAAGCAAAAGTGTTCTTTCATCTTCACTCCAAAAGCCTTTTGGTAATTCAGGATGTAATTTTGGGATGCCTGCTTAATGTGAGAGAGACAATTCTAGAAGCTGGGATGCAACCGTGAAAATAAATGCTCTATGCCCTTGAGCTTGCTCAGTGATGAATAGGAAGTCAGTATAAACAAATAAATTGTATAATATAGCGTCAGGTAGTGTTGTTATAAAATATAATAGTAAAAGAGGAAGTAGCTGGGCATGGTAGTATAGTCATTAATCCTAGCTATCCAGCAAGCTGAGGAAGGAGGATTGCTTGAGTCCAGGAGTTCAAAGCCAGTCTGGGCAATATAGCCAGAATGTATCTCAAATAATAAGAAAGCAAGGTAATTAATAAAAAGCAGAGCTACTCTTCTTGAAAGAGTTATCAGGGAAGATTAGGTAGCTCACTAGGGAACCTTGGTGTTATGGCTGTATCTAGATGCCCCCAAAGCCTTGTGTAGTCATAGGTGGGGCTTTTTCAGAAGAGACTGAATCTAGGGTGATGTTGGGATTGAAGGTAGGTGATTACTAAGTCAGTACACTGATTGGTTTGACACCACTTTAATTCCCATATCTAGATATAATATAAAAGGGGCAAAAAAACTTAAGGCCCCTTACTTGGTTTGCTATCTTCTGTCATGAACTGCTCCTCCTCTGCTATTCCTGTCTTCCCATGCCTCCCTGCCTTGGAGCTGCTGATTCTGTACTGAAACCTCTACAAACTGTAAACCAAATAAACCTTTCTGTCTTTAACTTTGTATGTTGGGCATTGTTTAGTTACTTTTCTCTCATTACTGAGACAGAATACTCAGTGTCTTATTTAGCTCACAGTTTGTAGAAGGTTCAGTCCGTAATCAGCTGGCTCTAAGTCAGGGTAGCATGGCAGAGGAGCAACAGTTCATGGCCGTGGAGGACAGCAGAAGAAACAAGGGAGGAGAGAGAGAGAGCAAGCTTCTTTCCTTCCCTAATATTGTATACAGGGTACCCACCCTAGGGCAGATGTAGCCCTCACACTCTTAATCCCAGCATCGTACTAGGAATCAACTGCAAACTCTAAATTCAGTTGCCTCCAAAAAGCCCATCCCCCATGACCACATGAGGTGTTGCAGGAACATCAAGACCCAAACCATAGCAGGTGTCTTGTCTCGCAATGAGGAAAGTAGCAGACACTCAGGAAGGGCTAAGCTGAATGTCTGTCAAGGCAGAATAATGAGCATGAGCAAGTGCAGAGTCCCAGACAGACCGAGATGCTTGGAATGAATAAGGAGCAGCAAAGGGAACAGTGGGCTGCAGGGTGGGATAAGGGCAGGGCAGCTGGCAGTGAGACTGAAGAAGCTGGATCCAGACTGCAGTTATCTCAGCCTTTGCAGTTAGGTCAACTGGAGGGTTTGTTTCTAAGTCCTGGCACCCAGACTGTATGCCATACCAAACAAGAATTGCGCAATGTGAGACCCAGGCTTTGCTACTTTGATGGCTTTTGAGTGAGTCTGGTGGGCAGCCAAGGTTAGGACCACAGATGTAAGGATCCCTTTACCTGTCCCATAAACATAGGGGCCAGGCTCACAGCAAGAAGATGGGATAGAAAGGCACCTCTGTAGTCCAGCACTAAAAATAAGTGATGGTGATGTGGACCAGAATAGAGTAGAGGCAGACATAGTCAAAAGACGTAGGATTCAGCAGGATTCAGGATAAGCATAGCGTATGTTTGCAGTATGCAATGTTTGTTTTGAGGAATTGGTACATACATGCAACATATTGATCATTTTTGACCCTTTACCCTCTCTAATCCTGTCCCCCACTCCCTTCTCCATCTCTAAAAGTCTGTCTTCTTGTTTCTAACCTTCATTCATTCATTTATATTTTAGGTTTCTCTTATATGAGAAACTTTCTGCATCTGACATTTTGCTTAACAATGTGACCTCAAGTTCTGTCCATTTTTCTGCAAATGACAATTTCGTTCCTCTTCATGACTCAATAATACACTGTTGTGTATATGTATCACATTTTCTTTATCCATTCATTTGTCATTGGGCATCGAGAGCTTAGCTATTGTGAATTGTGCTGCTATGCATGTATGCATATAGCATGACATCTTTAATCTCAGAAATACAATGAGGTGAGATATGGCTGAGTCAGATGGAATTTATAAGACTCCATTCTGATTTCCACATGTTATAATAGTTTAAGTTTTCACCACCAATGTAGTAGAGTTTCTTTTCCCCTATAGCCTCACCAGCATTTGTTACTTTTTGTGTTCCTGTTGATGGCCATTCTAACTAGGATAAGAATCTCAGAGTTTTGATTTACATTTCTCTAAGGGTCCAAGATGCTGAACATTTTTTTACATCATTACTGGCTCTTTGTACTTTTTTTTTTTTGGTACTGGGGATTGAACTCATGACTTTGCACCTACAGGCAAGTGCTTAAGCCACTGAGATAAATCCCCAGCTCTGTACTTTTGTTAAGCGTCTGCTCAGTTCACATACTCATTTCTGACTGAGTCATTTGGGGAATTACATATTATGTTCATATTCTAGTACTAGACTTTGTCTGAAAAGCAGCTGGCAAACTTTTTTCCCATTTGGTAAGTTGTCTTTTCAATTTCTTTTGCTGTGCAGAAGCTTTTTGATTTGGTATAATCTTGTTTGTTAATTCTTGATTTTATTTCCTGTGATACTGGAGTTCTGTTCAGGAAGTTCTTGCCTATTCCTATGGCTTCAAGTAGTTCCCTTGTGTTATCTTCCAGCCTTCTCAAACTTTGTTTTTATATCAAAGTCTTTTATTCATTTTCATTTTAATACAAGACGAGAGGAATCTAGTGCTAATTCTGTACATGACTGTTTAGCTTTCTCAGCATCATTTGTTAAAGAAGCTATCTGTTAGGCCAGGCATGGTGGCACATGCCTGTAATCCCAGCACTCGGGAGGCTGAGGCAGAAGGATCATTGTGAGTTTGGGACCAGCCTGGGCTACAAAGTGAGCTCAAGGCCAGACTGAACTGCATAGCGAGACCCTGTCCTAAAAAAAAAAAAAAAAGAGGCTATCTTTTTTCCAACACATTTTGGGTCCTTCAGGATTGTCTTGGTTATTTTTCTCTCATTGATGAGACAAAATACATGATGCCCAAAATGAAAGAAGGACAGGTTTATTTAACTTGAGGTTTGTTGAGGTTTCAGTCCATAATCAGCTGGCTCCAAGGAAAGGTGGCATGGTTGAGGGGCAGCTGTTCATCGTGGCTGCAGCAGACACCAAAAGCAACAAGAACAAAAGGAGCAAAAAGAGAAAAGCATGCCTCTTTCCCTCCCTTACACTGCACGTAGGTTACCTACCCCAGGGCAGTGCAGCACTCACACCACCAATCCCAGCACCAGACAACAAACCAATCATAAACTCTAGATGTAGCCACCTTCAAAAGCCCCACCCCCACGACTGCCTGAGGCTTGGGGGGGGGCATCCAGAAACATCCAGAAACCATAACAAGGATATATTTTTAAGGCATGGCTCACACGATTTGTAGATTACATAGGTTGGCTGTGGAATGGGAGAGGAATTAGAGTCCAGGATAAGTTTACCATTTGGAGTCTGAATA